CTGCTCAGGTAATGTCGTCGGTATGACCGAGAGCCATTGAAAAACTACAGAAAAGTAAAACTACTTCACTTTAGCATTACTGGCTACGAGTAGGCTACTAAGGAGAGGTCACACATCAGCTTCTCAAAAAATGTGTGAGACGAACGGAGCGCAAGCGCAATCTTGTGCATGCAGGCGGTAAAATAGTGGAGCGCGTGAAGGAGAGATGCCAGGGCATGAACACTGTTCAATTCGTGCTTGTAGTAATTTAATGTGTATATATTTTGAATGCATTGAATCGCTATAGAAATCGCGATTCATTCGATTCTTAGCGTTTTAAATCGATTACTGTCCGAAATCGGCGATTCACGATTCAAAAATCCATGTTTCAAGATCGATGCATTGCATCGTCAGGGTTTGTAATCGATGCATCGAGAAGACGAGTGAATCGTTACACCTCTAACTACTACTAATTATGTATAGTTTTATTTTTTGTTTTTTATTTAATTACTAAAAATATATACTAAAATATCTATTACTATTATTTAATTTACTTTTTAATTTGTTTTTAGTTTAGTTACTTTTATGTTTTGTTTTAATTTTAATTTTGCTTTTAAGTTTAGTTTTGTTTTGTACACAGCCCATCTGTTTTATATAACATATATTTAAACAGATTTTTGCTGTATGGTTTAATGTTCCTGGGTGCCAAGCTTCCTCTGTGTATAAGTTTTACACTTGCCTTTTCCAGTAGATTATTCATTTAGCAGACTTAAATGCATCTTGCAAATGAGAAAAACAACATAAATGATTCAACAGAGACCATGTTAATACTGCAGCACAGTTGTCAAGTTGGCCAGAAGTCTTCCACACCTTTGAGTTTAGTCCCTTTCAAGTCCTTAGCAAATCGTAATGTACTGTAGTATAGACAGGCTATCAGTTAAAACATATGCATATTTACATATATACCACATATATATTTCACAAATATCACATTTTGATTCAATGTAATTTGATTCAGTGTCTTTATGCTTATCTTCAGACTGTTCTGTTACATCAATTGCAGCTTGTGATGTGCCTTTGATGCAGCAGTCTGAAGTTATTTAAATAAGTTGTATGGACCAATTTTCAGTGCTAAAATAGGGCATGGGATTCTACCGTGAATCTCTCCATATGGGCAAATCCACTCAGTCTTCCCCCATGCTGCTCAGAGGCAGTGACATTACAGTAAGCAATCAGCATAAGACCCCAACTTGGAGTTTGTCCCACTTTTTTGGGCATCTACCTTCCCTAAGAAACCTGCCCTCTTTTTCTTCCCTCTAGACTTGTGTTTGCGTTTCCTAACCCATATCCCAGGAATGCCATAGAGGTGTGCATATGTATCAGGGTCAACAAGGTACCTGGACAAGATGGATGTCTATGGATAAAAAGCACTGCTGAATAATTTGCGTTTCCAGTTAAGAAAGTTACAGAACAATATTTCACATAGAGTCTTGGCAGATTGGGGTCGACTGTGACGACTGTGCAGCGGGTAGGATCCGGGGGTGCCTGGCTCATTTAAAAAGTGTTTCCCATCCCAGGAGTGTGGTCTAGAGAGAAATGAAGTTGAAATAGTTTCACAGTTCTGTAACGTCATTTTTTTCACGTTTTATGTTGCTGCCTTATGTTAAACTGATTAAGGGTAACAGAGACTACATGCTTCTGTGAACCTTCAATGAAGCAGAATTTTTTTCCTGAACTCTTCCGCAGATGTGTGGCTTGACACAATCCTGTCTCTGAGCTCTACAGACTTATTTTTGCTCTGATATGCATTATCAGCTGTTAGACCTTTTATTAAGATGTGTGTGCCTTTCCAGATCATATCCATTCAATTGAATTTGCCACAGGTTAACTTCACTCGAAGTGTAGTGACATCTACAAAAAAGTAATTTAAAGCAGTTTAGCATAAGGCAGCAATATAACAAAACGTGAAAAAAAAGAAGGGGTATGAATATTTTCGCAAGGCACTGTATATATATTGTACACACACACACACACACACGCACACACACACACACACAAAGAAAAACAAGTAGATAGAATAGAAAAAAATAGAAAGCTGCTAGTTTTTTTTTATAAAAAAAGAAGATAAATAGATAAATTAGAATTAAAATAGAATAGAAAGTGCTAGCGTTAGAGGGTCAAATAAAGGTGGAACAGATGTGTTTTTAGTCGTTTCTTGAAGATGGTTAAGGACTCAGCTGCTCGGATTGAGTTGGGC